TATCTCGTAAAGTATTCACTTTCCGTCTTATCTTACACGATTCAACTAATCAAGGCAAGCATTGGACATGATCCAACCGGAAAGTTTCATGTATTCGAGAGATCTTTCTATATATAGCGGGTTTACATAGTACAGTTTACAGTTGGAAAGATCTCTCGAATACTTCTATCTAATCTCTGAAACTTTCTCATGAACAACTTTTTGATACAAATATTTTTTTAATTTTTTGGGTTGTAACATTTTATGTGAACCACTCTATATAATCATATACGTAATCATTTACAATTATATACAGAGTGTCCTATTTTAATTAAGCATCCCTTTTAACTTCATAGGAAATAGCCAGTTAAAAAAATATTCTCTACAAAAATTGTGTTTGGAGAAAGACATCCGATGGTGACATTGAACTTTATGTAGATGTCATTGTTCAAGGTCAAATGAAGGTCAACTTCAACTTTTTAAACAAAATGATTTACTTTTGACGTCGAACATCGATAGAGGAGGAAATTTTACATTAAAAACATAGGATAATATGTGGGATCCGATTGACTCCAAGGAATAATATGTGGAATCCGATTGACTCTAAATGATTTGACTTGACTTAATTCCTTTAACTCCTATTTGGAGCATAGGGCACTTCTCCCTCTTGCATATGCATGTGATGTGCACACAGGTTGTACACATGCATATGGGACCTACAGTTTTACGCCGGTTCCGAACGGCAGTTAGAAGAGAGGTGTTTCTTTGGCATGAGATTACTCTTGGCGGTTTGTCAGGTCACCAAGAAGAGCTACGAGCGTAAGAAAAAATTCTTTTTCTTTTTTGGTTCTTGCCGGGGAGCGAACCCGGGACCTCTAGTATAGTAGACTGGTGCGCTGTCTACCATACCACGCTCGCGCTCCAAGGGTCACATAAAGGTCACAAATGCTTTGTCGAGGTCCGACGTCACGAAGCAGCACATGTACGGATGATCCATCGCCGCCTCGCCCAAGTGAGAGAGACGGAGTCGTATGTATTTCTCTTTCTACTATCTGACGTTGCCTAAAGGTCGGAGTACACACGTACATGGCACGCGTGTTTGTGTGCGTCATGTTACTAAAGGTTACAATCTGCGATCCTTGGTGACAAGAACTCCCTCAAACTTCTCAAGTACTTTCTCAATAACTATCAGTCGCGCAACAAAAATTCGACGCTATTAGTCTAGGTTTATGTGGATAGGCAAATATGGTCCGATCAATTATCCACCCCGATCATCAGACCTCACCGTCCTTGATTATTATTTCTGGGAAAAGATAAAAGATTTGGTCTCTTATGAACGTTCGACTACGAGGGACAATATGATTTGTAGAATAAGTGAAGCAATTCGATCCTTAGGTGCTGAAGAAATTCTTTGCTTTCAAAAAAGAGTAGATGCTTGTACCGCAGGGAATGGTGCTCACCTTAAACACTTAGTCGTTTAGGCAAACATATACTCATTCGTCGCAGAATCGTGATAGATAAGGGGACTCACGTTAATCTAGTACCCCGAACGTGAGAGACAAAAAATAATGAATTTATAATAAGTAATTACACCATTTTTTTAAAGATAATTATATGTTTTTATTACACCAATTGATTAGTCTTATCATTCTGTGCATAAAAGTATCAGGATTACCGAAAACTTAATGTTTTACAAAATATTTTGTATTTTGTCAAAATGTTGAAATTTTCAAATATTATAACTCAAAAAGTTCTTAATGAAAAAATATTTGATTATTTTGTTTTGGAAAACTTTCAAAATAAGCTACAAGAATGTGCAATAAAAAATAGAGTATGCCATTTGGAAAAACGTAACCTTTATATGACTTTCAAACGATTATTTAAGACCAAATCAATGATACCATCTTATCTACACCTCGAAGTCATACAAATTTTGACTGAAACATTTTTTTCTAAAATACTCTGTTCCCAAGATAAAAGGGGTGTACGGGTAGTCTCAGACACCCTATATTAGGTGCTTGAATTAATTCTCGTTGTTTTTTGCTACAAAAACTCATGTTTATTTCAAAAGAATGGTATATAATATCTTATTGAAAATATTGTTCTCCAGAAGCTACAAACTTTTCCTACTTTTCAGGTAACACATGGATTCTGCGGTAGAAAAGGTCAGGTTTTTCCGAGGCGATCAAGTCATTGAATCATTTTTTGATATCTTCGAAAGAAATGAAATGCTGCATAGAAAAGCCATGCTGCATCGACCGAAACAAATGGTAATCTGAAGGAGCAACGTCTGATGAATAGGGCGGACGGTAAGACATCCCATCCAAGTCCACCCAAAATTTCCTTCATTGGTGTTGCAACTTGTGATCTAGCATTGTCATGAAGAAGAATAATTTTATCACGTCTTTTGGCGTATTGCGGGCGTTTTTCTTCGAGTGCTCGATTCAAATTGAGTAATTGTCGTTAATAGCGTTCAGCATTGATGGTTTGACTTGGTTGCAGCTCATAATATATTACACCGACTTGATCCTACTAAATACAGCTCGACCTTCTTTCCATGAATATCCTGTTTTGGCGTTGATGTTGATGGGACGCATCTATGATTTCTTATGCTTAGGATTGTCGTAACGAATCAATTTTTCATTGCCAGTCACAATTCGATGCAAAAACGACTCCCGATTTTGTCCTTAAAGCAGCAATTCACAAATGGTTAACACGTTTATTGCCAAGCTGAAAATTGGAATTTCGTGTGGGGGCCAAATTTTTTATTTAGTTTTTGTTGGGCTCAAAAAAAGTTAATATATTATGTATATGCTTTTATTATTATGTACAT